GTTCTCTTGCCTCAAACATTTCCGGGTAAACTGCGGGGCGAAACCACGTGGCGGCTGTCCCAGGCTCGCCTGAATGTCCGGGGCACACTTTCACGCTCTCCCGGGACCAGCAGCTGTTCTGTCTCCTGAAAATCAGTTTTGGTGGGGGAGGTGGCTCTTGCAGAGGTGGAGGCTGTCCACCGCGCAGGCCAAGCCGGTCTGGCTGACCACTGCAGTGTGCACTGAGAACCCAGACACGTTAGGCCACGCGTTTGTTGTGCAGGGATTGTAAGTAGAAAGAGGCGCGTTTGGAACAGGAGCTCCAATTTCCACACCACTTCTCTTAGCTGGTTACACTGACAATAATTCTTTAAAAATCACTCTTTGGAGCACTTAGTCTTTTTGACTTTTAATTGTGCAATTTTGTATTCTCCATGATGTTTCCATACAGTACTGGGAGCTCGGCGGGAATTTACTGAAAACATTAACATTCGTGAAATTCATCGATTATCAAGGATTTTATTAGATATAATAACATGAAATGGTGGCTACAGATTAAACACAGGCACACAGTGAAGCTACTAAGTTTTCTCTGCTATTTTTCTATTTCTTTATTCAGTTACACTGAGACCGACACAAGCTATGCAGCCTCTATTGACTGACGTATTCCGGATAGAGACGGAAGTGCTCTGAAAAATCAGGCTTTCCACGCTAACTTGTGTTATGACTCCCTTTTTTGTTTAATCATAATATCAAAATATTCTGAGCAACCTTCAGCTTACAACTGGATTGCCTCAGCCTCATAAGGCGCTGCCTGGCCCTGACAAGCAAGTACTGCACCAGGGTGAGAAATTCTGCTTGAAGTCAAGTGATCTTACAACTGGCTGATTGATAAAAACAATTGGCTGTTACTGCAAAGTCCATATTGAGGCAGTAGGGAAGCATACTCTCACTGCCCAGAGGGAGGAAAACCCAAATCTCACCACTCTACTATCCCTCAAAGCCTTCTATTCCGTTTCTAATAACCACTCAAACTGTCTACTATCTTGTCTTTAGATATGGAAATTTACCCAAGTCACCTATTCAGAGCTAATCAGGTCTTCTACCATCTAGATTTCAAGGAAATTCACTTAAACTTTCTAACAAGTTTTCAGAGAACTTTACTGTGATTTGATTTACAAGAAATTTCCCCTTCCTGCCCTCACTTTACTTTACCCCCAGGATGTCTCTATGAGAATGAAAGCCGTTAAGTAATAGACTTTATTTTGGTTCATCTTCACTGTGGTAAATACAGTAATATTAGTCTTAAACTTTGTGAATCTATGTACCTGCTTTAACCTTGATAGATTGATTTTTAAAATGTTATCATCTCAACGAAAGGTCAAAAGGACCCCAGACTATTCTTAGAAAAAAGGTGATTGTGTTCTCAGCCCATTTCATATGCTGATGTCATCCCTCTGCCTGCTTGAAACCTACAAAATAAACCTCTGCTGAAGGCAGAGCAGGAAGACTCGCATCCAACTCCGACTCCCGTCTTCCTCGCACCTGCTCCCCTTTTCCCCCTTTCCTAGGAATCTCGGCTCGCCGACGCCACTCCCACCTTGAGACCCTGCCTGTGTGCCCCCCAATAATCCGTGATCGCAGATAGAGTCTCCGACAAGAGGCCTTCCGTCACGTTCACTGAATTCTTTCATTTCTTCATCAGACACTTACTGAGTCCTCCCTGCACTCCGGGTACCATGACGGAGCCCGTGCAAAACGTGCTAGAGAAGCAGGAAGGAGTGTGACCGGTGGGAGGGCCCACCGGGGGTGGGAAACACAGGGAAACTAAGACGGAGACGCCGGGTGACCCCCGGAGCGCAGCACACCCCTCCGGTCTCCCCGCTGCCCCCAGCAGTGGGTTTCAGTGGATCTGTCCCAGGGCACCCCAATGTGGGTTGAGCTGCCTGTCTGTGGGTCCTCACCACGCGCTGAAGATTCAACTGTACTGTGGACACACACGAAAAGGTTCAATAACGGGTTTATTTACAAGGAGCAAGGTACAGGAACAACCCATGGAAAGAGGGAGAGAATACAAGTCAACTAGAATGTCCTACAGTTCTGCTGACCTGGACTCCACCCGCGCGCTGAAGCCCGATCGAGAGCCAAGCGACCGGCCACAGCCACCAGGCCAAGGAGCCCCAGAGCCCACATGCCCGGCTTTACCCCAACCCGGCTGCTCAGCTCCGCCCTCACGACCCAGCTGCTTCTCCTTGTTGATGCGATTAGTCGTTCCAGTATCTGGACTGGGGACGGCGCCCATGACACCGGGACCAGTTACAATTCCTCCTGCGCTGCTCCCCACTCCGTCTCTGGGGAGTCCTCTCACCCCTGCACCTCTGGCCTGTACCCCAGTTCTTGTGTGCATACATAAATCTTTTAGAAATAATAAACTGGAGCTGCACGGGAGTAGCGACACTGAAAGGGTAAGTAGAACTGAACAGGTTTGCGTCTTAAAGGTGACAGTTACCTCGGCAACCATCCACTAACACTAACCCCATAAAATCCTGCAAACCAAGAAACAAAAAACCTCCAAGCCCAAAACACTTTGAACGGACCTTGGCCATATCTGAAGTACAGCGATAAAACTCCGGTTTCATGCATTTAATTTGTACAGTGCAAAGAGCACGGGTCAGCTTACCCAGGACTCTGCTCTCGGCCATGCCAAGTTACCCGAGCAGCTTGCAGAGTGACGGGCAGTTGAGGCGACAGCTCCCTGCCTGGGGCCGAGGTAAGTCACACTGTGCCATCTACAAGGCTCAGCTGGGCGGACACGCCAGTCACGGGGCGCAGGGGACACCTCACCCACCAGGTCACACACTGACCGTGCAGAAAGCCCGAGCGGGCACCCTGCGCCTCCGCTCCCGGTGAGCGGTGTTGAGCTCGCCGCTGCGAAACCAGCTCAAGTTCAACCTGCCCATCGCGGGCCACATTTAACCGCCGGCCGTCGGGGCCGAGTGAGGACCTGAGCGCCGAACAGGGCGCCCGACCGCTTCCCAGCGCTGCCCACACGCGCCGGGGCCGCCCGGCGCGG